ATGAGTCTAACAGCCTCAGGGTAGAAGCTGTTCCTCAGTCTAGTGGTTCTACACTTAATGCTCCTTAACCTCCTTCCTGAGGGGAGTGGGGCAAAAAGTGTGTGTGCTGGGTGAGTGGGGTCCTTCATGATGCAGGTGGCCCTCTTCCTGCATCTGGAGGTGTAGATGTCTGTGATGGTGGGGAGGCTGATTCTGACAGACTTCTGTGCAGCCTTCACCACTCTCTGCAAAGCAAAGGTGCCATATAAAACAAGGTAAAATACTAAAAACAAGAACATATTTGCTTAAAATTAAATTAAACATTCTAATAAAATAAACCATAAAATCTCCACCTTAACCCGATTTATGCTGCTTTGATATGAAAACTTTTAAAACTCAAACAGGACGTTTGAAGTTTCAAACAGCACAAGATCTGCACTTTTATTTTGTAGCGGAAGAAAACGGAAGTTGTCGTTCTTGTTTTTAAACGTAACTTCCGTTTCACGCTCTAAACCCAGACCTGCACGTGTTTGAACGGTTTCTGAGGGTTTTTCAAAAGCATTTAACCTTATTTGTGTCGCATTTTCGGACAGCGGAGCTGGTTTTGGACCGTACGCGGACTCTTTAAAGTTGTTTAGCAGGTTTTCTGGTGCTTCCCGGAGCAGAAAGGGACATTTTTCATGCTAGTTTGGATTTAGCCGAGCAGCTAGCGACACGCGCCGCTAGCTAACATGCCCGGGCTTGTTCCAGTGACAGCGACGGAGACGCGACTTTAAAGGCTCGACAGCTGTTTTTAGTGAATTAAAGAGAAGTCAAATGGATTACCAGTTTCCTCAGCGGCTGTTTCCCTCTTTTTACAACAACGGACCGCCGTCGTTTTCGGTGTCGAGCAGCGGAGAAGCTGGAGGATGGGGCTCTTACGACGGAGTGTTGCCTCAGGTGAGGGCGGTTATCAGGACAGGAAGTCAAGTTAAAGCTTTGTAATTTGTACCTGTGGGTTTGTTTTACTCCTGATAAAGGACACATTTGTAATCACTGATGGGAATAATACAATTTGACCCTGAGGGTAAACGTCTGGTTGCAGTTTTAGTGATGGAAGCTCAGCCAGAGTCAAACAAAACGTGTCGGTTTAACCCACAAACATGAGAACAACTTCTTCAAAATGTCACATATTTTAATGACGTTGGCACTTTCTTTCTTTTTCTAAACCCTGTCCATTGCATTTAAAACTAAATGGATTTGGCTGCTTTAGTAATTGTTGTTGCAAGCAAAAATTGTGACATTCAATGGGACATTTTATGACGTTTGAATGAATCTGTTAACCTTTAAAGTGTTGTGACAGTTTTAACTTTAACATTTATAACCCAAGAGGCTTACAGATGTCTGTTTGTACAGTTATTTACACTTCTACTACAGTAAATTATACTACAGTACTGTTTTCACTTGGTTTAACCATGTAGCCATTATTTATACCCACTTCTTCCTTTTCGGGTCACGGGGGTCACCGGTTCCCATGTCCAGCAGTCAATATGTGCGAGAGGCAGAGGACACCTTGGACATGTCTCCAGTCCATCACAGGGACACATGGAGACAAACAACCATTCACTCTCTCACCTAGAGACAATTCAGAGTTGCCATCAGTCTAACATGCATGTTTTTAGTCTGTGGGAGGAAACTGGAGAAAACCCACGCAGCACGGAGAGAACATGCAAACTCCTCCCAGGAAGATCCGCGGCTGGGATTTGATCCAGCAACCTTCTTGCTGAGAGGCAGCGGCTCTGCCAATTAAAACTAAATGTTCTGTTTGTGCCGTCAGGAGTTTCTAATGGTTGTTTGTGATTTCAGGGCGGTTCCAGTTCTCTGTCCAGCTGCACGTTTACATCCAAACATCAGGTCAGAGGGAGGACGTGGACCCAGACCGAGCCCGTGGTGGTCCCACTCTTGACTCCTAAAACAGGTGGGAACCTCCCCCGAACACCCCCCCCCCCCCAAAAAAAAAAGGTTTAGTTTTTTATATGTGAAGGGAGTTGATCTGCAGGACCTCCTGAATGATGATGTTCACTTCACAATTACTCCAAACAGTTTTGTGCATGCTGGATCAGGATAAATAATATATATATATATATACATATATATATATATATATATATATATGTGCAGAAGCTTTTGTTAAAATCAAACAGTTTGTGGTTCTAAAGGATTTGTTTTTTTAATTTTCTGTATTTGTTCTATATTTTTTTAATATTTGCTCGTTTTGTTTCACTTTTTTCCAGCTTTATTCTGTAATTTGACGCCTCCAGATCCGCTGGACTTCACCGAACATGTGAGAAAACATCGATGAAGAAATCAAACAAACTTTTATTAATAGAGCTGGACGATAACTCAATATTTTTTAAATATCGAGATAATGTTTTTATGATCTAAGATGAGACCTTATCGCTATAAACGATATACAGTGTAATGTTACACTTGAAAATCCTCCTGTTGGCTTCTTTCTCACATGCGGCCCCTCATTCCTCCCCCCTCCTTGAAAACAAACTGTTTCAGGGAAAGAGGCTGAAGTCGGTCGGACCTGCAGCTGCAGCTCACACGCTTACTAACGTGAAGGCGGCGCAGCTGAAGAGGATTTTTATTTAATATATGTAAATAAATGTCTAAAAAATAAACTAATATACCGTACCAGCTTTATTTATAGAGCACTGTAAACACCTACAGGACCAAAGTGCTGTACACGATAATACATTTATGTAAATAGTTACATTTTTTAGACATTTAATTTGTAGAGTTACAGCTGTTGTTAATAAATGTGCCTGTGTGACAAATGGGACAAAGCTTTGACTCAGAAATATATTTTTGTTATTACTTTATGGGAATAAAAAATATCGAGGTATATTGCGATTTATCTTAAAAAATATAGAGATATTAATTTTGGTCCATATTGCCCAGCCCTATTTATTTAAAGCTGTCAATTCTAAATATAATGTAAAGTAAATAATAAAGGAGCTAAAATAAGAGGAAAAAACAAAAACAATATTTTCACTAGTTCGGTTGGCAGCTATTTAACATGAACAGCAATCGGCTCCTGTCCTTATGGATCGGTCACATCGTCACTGATACCCGATCAAGAATTTATTTTTGATATCTGTACCAATATGGGATCGGTGCGTCTCCACGGCCAGCTTTTAATTATTTCTTTGCCACACTGGACCTCATCTTTTGCCATCAAACATCGTGAAACTGTTAAATACACATTGTAAACACAAGTATTAACAAATCAACCAAAATTAAACATATAAACAGAATATGTAAACCTACCGTGAGCACCTTCTGACCAAACATTTAGGAGGTGTTGTTGTCCACATTGTTCATTATTTCCACCTTTTTGTCCCAGACTATCTTGATTTCTGCTCATGTCCACACACTCCTGCAGGTTTTCTGTTTTTTATACTTTTGTTGATGTAACTGGGACCCTGAGTACAGTTTCGTTCCACCACATGAGAATGACAAAGACTCTTGACCTTGATCTTATAAATCTGAACTGGTCATGGTCACAGCGTGCTCACCTCTGGGTGCAGTACTCAACCCCACCAGTAGATGTCACTACAATTTAAACAGCTAAAGCTTTTCTCTGAGACTCGGGACTGGACATTCTTTTATGACCTTTAATTTTTGTTTGTTTTTATTTTTAGATGCAAAACTACTACTTGAACTACAGCCACGATGCGTTCGGGTGCATGAGCGACATCCTGGGAGAACATTTTTACTTTAAGTTCGGCAAAAAGTACAAAGAGGTGAGTTTTACCCTCGGATGTTTTTCAAGGAGTCAACATCTGGATTATTTCTGTAATAAAGAGACAAATAGTTGAATATTTAGACTTTAGCTGTTTATTTAGAGTCGGGGTTTAATTTCTAACGAGGATCAGTTTTTTTGTTTGTCCAGAAACATCGACGGGGTTCTGTCAACGTGTGGACGATGAGAAACCATATCGAGAAGTTGAAACATAAAACGTGAGTCAAACAGGCGAAGAAACGACAGAGCTTTAGCTTTTATTTTATTTTGACAAATTCAGAACATATCAGGAGTTGTGATCTGTTGGCTCTCAGATGATGCACAGAGGAGGACTCTCGGCTACTACCAGACCAGACTTTAGCTCGTTAGTTGATCGTTGATTTTCCTGTTTTTAACTTTTAGCTACCTTTTCTTTTGCTTCTAGTTATACATTTTGCTAACTTTTTGAGATATTTAGCTTTTAGCTAACCTTTTGGGTTTTTGCTAGCGATTGCTTCATTTAGGTTTTATTTGACGTTTTGCTCATTTTAGCTAGCATTTTGCTTCTCTTAGCCTTTAGCTAATGTTTTACTCTTTC